TCGCCCCCTCCAGTTAACCCGCCCCCCGCGGCGCCCCTCCCCCTCCAAAAGTCGTGGTTTCACAACCTCCACCTCCCAAAGCAAACCCGCCTCCTCAAAGCAAAATTCCGCCGCCGCCACTCAACCCTCCTCCAAGCGGTGCCCCTCCCCCTCCCAAAGCCGTGCTTTCCCCACCTCCGCCCCCCAAGAAAATCCCGCCTCCTCCCATTCGTCCCCCGCCACCTCAGAGCGCCGTGCCACCCCCTCCAGTCTCAACTCAAAACCCCCCACCAATGCCCCAAGCGAATCCTCCACCCTTGGTTCTCCCCGCGCCCAATCCCCCCCCGCCGCTTCGGGCCCCACCTCCACCCCCTGTGAGGAGGTGCAGGTCGACCAGTGATTGCCCGTTGAACAAAGGCTGCTGCACCGAAGAGTATACTGGCAAAGTCGGTAAGCCTGTTTGACAAGGGTCGTCCGGGAGGTCTTCGGAAGGGTCAGTTCCAGAGGTCAACGTGTTTTGAAAACGGCGGGAAATTCGTGATTGTGCTTTCAATCCAGGTCGAAGGTCGAAGATGAATCACCTGGGTTGTACCGAGTTGGACAATAATTCATCTGCTTTTGTAGTTCAAGTTGTCATTGCCACTCTCAACAGTCGGCGGCGGCCCCTTGAAGATGGTGATAAAGATTTACCCCTCTTAGTTCTCTCAGTATTTCGGCTGCATGTGCAATGAGCTGAGCTTGAAGTGAACTCCCTGAACACCTTGGCCCATTGTCAAGACAATGACTTGATGCAGATTTCACTAGGCATCCGACATGCGGACATGCCTTCCCAAAGGGCGCCCTTGACTGCTTGTTTCCAACCAAAATCCGCTGTAGCATACTTGCATTGTGAACACCTTTCTGGACTTCGCCAAAAGGAATCATAGCTCACTCTTGTTATTGCTCCGGTCTCCTCAACCTCTCCTACCGTTCGTTGAACCGACGAACACCCGGAAAGAGACACCAGAGAAACCGCCAAGCTTCTCTGACTCCTCAATGACGTGTCAACTTTGCCTCGTCAAAGGTCTTCTGTCACCGAACTGTTCCCGCACCTATCCAGGCGTCTGCACGAATGTGCCAGTACTGTCCAATGGAACCCAAGTCTGCCGCTATTGCAACGACTTCAATGGGCCGACCTGCCCTCCTGAATTGGGTTTCTGCTGCTTCGACGGACAGTGCAAAGCATCGGCTAGCGACTGCGCCTGTGTCTACTCTGGGGATTGCCCGCCAGAATATTGCTGCACCGCCTTCTTCGAGGATAACGTTGGTGAGCAGTTTTCCGGATTCCAACGAGGTCTCATTGAAGGGTCGTACGTAAGTTGTGGGGCAGATTTTTTTGACCCTTTTTTCTGGAGTTGTGCCACTTGCTGCTCTACTCGATTTCCAGCGGAGCCGATCTGTGTCTCACCTCTTTTCCTTCGCTTTGGAAGCAGTATTGTCTCCGCATGTGAATCAGCACTGCTCCCTACTTCTTTGGATGCTCACAGCGCTGTTTCGGATGTGATCCCCTTGCTTAGGACACTTTCGGCACTCGTTTTCCGTCCGAGTTTATCCGCTTGTCCCTTCTCGTTTGCAAACAGGGCTGGCCTACCTCGAACGCATGGAAGCCGGCACTCTAGGGCTGCCGTCCCAGCTCTTGCTTGCTCACGGCGCTTGGTTGATCAACGTGTTTTCACTCCCTTGTCTAGGACACTGTTCAAGCACGACCTTCTTCAGCAACGGCACCCAGGAGTGCGCGAATTGCAACTACTTCAACGATCTCAGTTGCCCAGCCAACAAGAAGGTGTGCTGCCCAAACGGGTTGTGCGCGCCAACGAATGCTGGCTGCACTTGCACCACCTCCGGCCAGTGCCCCTCCGGCTACTGCTGCACGGAAGAAAGTTCCGGCAAAACAGGCGAGTCGTCTCGTCGCCCTTCGTCTGAAAGCCCGAATGAAGACCGGATTCTGACTGGTCAGCCATAAACTTGATGAGGTGGTGGCTAGGACGCAAACGATTGGTTTGCTCCTTAGTACACCTTGGATTCCTATCGTGGCAATCTCGGTGCGGCCTACAAATGCAAAGCCGACGCCCTCGAACAGGGCTGAACGTCGACTGTCGCGACCTTTTTTGTAGATCGTCACTCTGGAGTTCAGATCGAGGCCGTCCTTGTTTTGCAAATGTAGGGTTGTGCGTCATCGTACTGCTAATTCTTGGATGCCTCTCACAAAACCTCACGATAGAATGGTCACATATGATCAGACGTCAATTAGGCGTCTTGCTGGTTCCATCTGTCTAGAGCTACAGATTTGATCATGGTTGTCGCAGCCCTAATATGCTCAGTCTTCCTCAAGGCCCGGCCTTCCGGCGCTAGGACACTATTTTCCACCTCAAGGGCTTCCAGCTGATGTTTGATATGTGTCAGCTTTCTATTTTGGGGTGATGGTTAGTCACTCATCACGTTCATAATCGTACCTGGCTAAGTTTCTCATCTGAACTTTCTGATGTGACCATCCTCTTATTGTTCCAGTCCAACATGTTTCTTAAAGCCGCGCGACCTTGCAGGGAGGTGCACGAACGCCCCCATCAACAGCAGTGGCAAGCAGGTGTGTCCTCAATGCAATGATTGGAATGGGCTCAGCTGCCCTGCCAGCAAAGGGACGTGCTGCCCATCGGGGGAGTGCGCTGTGTCGGCAAGCTCTTGCCCATGTATTGGCGAAGGATATTGCCCGCCCAACAATTGCTGCAGCCGCCAGTACGAATATTCCCCAGAGGGCGAGTTCGTGCAGGGTGAGTAACTCCGAAATGTAATCCCGACGAACGCAGAACGTACTCCACGTTTTTAGCAGGGAACAGCTCTGTAAGTTTGGCGGCCAGCTATTGGAGCGCCTCCACGTAAGACATGCCGGGGTTGCAATTTTACGATTTGGAGTAGGGGCTTTTATAATCCATTGTCTGGTGGCGCAAAACTGAGACTCAAGGGTCCCGTTCTCACACTCTACGGCCTTTATGACTGTTTCTAAGATTGCTTCTATCTCGAAAGTCTCCAAAGTAGCTGGCAAAAGTGCTTTTCCCAAAAGTAGACTTCTTACTCAAACACAAGTTCCCTTCGACTGCTAGAGCAGTCAAAGGACATGCTGATGCGAATGATGTTTGTTTCTTCAGGAGGTAGTGTAGCTAGATTTAGTGCCATTCTCTTTTCGGATGTATTTGGACATGCATGACGCGCTTCAAAATCTCGTCATAATCAATCCCTTTGAATTTGAACCTTGAGCCGCTACCATATCTCGCACTCTCTAACCAACGACCCCTCGACGTCGTTCCTTCATCCAAGTTTCAATCCACTCAAATTTGTTTCGCCTGTGACCGCTCGCTCTTTGTCGTTCTGCCGCCCAAAACTTTGTGACAATTGCCTTTGCCTCATACCTTTGACGAACAAAGCAAAGCGACGAGAACCGGCAACTTGTCTGATGGATATCTGATTTCTAAGCGACGCGCTTGCAGGTACTTGTTACAACTCGCCGATCCTTCCAAATGGCACACAAATCTGCCCGAACTGCTATAACTTGAACGGCCTCAAGTGCCCGGCCAACAGGAAGTCGTGCTGCCCAAACGGGCTCTGCGCCGCAAATTATGCCGGCTGCACCTGCCAGGGTTCATATGACTGCCCGGAGGGTTACTGCTGCACGGAAGAAAGCTCCGGCAACACAGGTGATCTTTGTAAATTGCTGACTTTGATTGAGAAACGTTGGTCGGCTGTTCAGTAATACGAACCATCGATTTGTTCACGTGGCGGCCGGGCTGCGGATCGGATGTTCCTTTCTACACAACGTTGTACCCCCGTGGATCCCAGTGCCTATCCTGAACGGCTAAGACTCAACCCTAATGCAATATACGAATCTAGAAAGGTCTGCCCGGCATCCCATGATCCTCTGGAAGCTTCAATACTTCTTAAGCAAGTTGTCGTCCAATTCGCCGTCCTAGCTCGGCGACTTTCGAAAGCGGCAGATGGTGTACGACGGCAATAAAGCGCGCGCCAAGTTGCAGAACTCACTTCGATTGCACCAACGATCAGGGATCGTCATTTTAACCCTGTCTAGAATCAATTGCCTTCAAGGTGTCAGTTTAGACTCTTGAAATTTCCCAGCCAACATTGTCTCAAGAGACATGTCCTTGCAGGCAAATGCACGAACGCCCCCATCAACAGCAGTGGCAAGCAGGTGTGTCCGGACTGCAACTATTGGTATACGGTGAGCTGCCCCGCCAGCAAAGCAACGTGCTGCGCGTATTCGGGGCAGTGTGCCGCGTCGGAAGCTTCGTGCCCGTGTAAAGCATCCGATTCTTGCCCCCCCAACTACTGCTGTAGCCGCGAGTACGAGTACACGTCCACCGGGGATTTCGTGCAAGGTGAGTATGAGCCCGACTTATAATTCTGACGAACGCGGAACGTACTTTCACGTTTTTCACAAGGGACAGCTCTCTAAGTTTGAGTTTGTCAGCCAGCTCTAGGGCCGCCTCCACGAATGACATGCCGGGATTTGCGTTGGAGTAGGGGTTATAATGGTCGTTGTCCGGTTGCGCAAAATCCAAGACTCGAGGGTCCCGTTCTCACACTCCGCGGCCACTATGACTGCTTCTATCTTGGAAGTTCTTCAAAGTAGCTGGCAAAAGTGTGGCAAAAACAAGCTGGCAAAAGCTTCTTCCGAACCAACGAGAACCAGCCATGGCTTCATTGACATCTTGTGCCGCTGGCAGGTTCCTGTTTCAGCTCGCCGGTCCTTGCAAACGGCACACAGGTCTGCCCGAATTGTAACAGTCTGAACGGCGGCAGCTGCCCGGCCGGCAAGAGGACATGCTGCCCAAATGGGCTTTGCGCCGCAAGCAACGCTGCCTGCACATGTCAGGATTCCGGCCAATGCCCCTCCGGTTACTGCTGCACGGAAGAGGGTTCCGGCACCACAGGTGATTATTGATTCCGGTCCGTTTCGACTTTGATAGTGGGGATTGCTTTCTCACTGATATGCGCCATCGACTCAATGACTCGGCGGCCAAGTTGCCTCTGGTCGGCAAGAATTTTCCTTTGTGAAAACTTTCTAGCGTACTCCCGCGGATCTCAGCGCCGTTACCAACGGTTGGGACCTGAAGTTAGAATGGTTTGCTCAGTATTCCATGCAACGCTGGAAGCTTTTATCGCTCTCAAACATGATTGTTCTCCAATTTGCCGAAGAGCTTTGAATGGGTGCTACGACGGCACGGATGCTTGAGGAGATTCAAATTTCCTGTTAATCGCACCGACAATGATTGCCAGTCACCCACACCCAAGCTTCTCTATCTTAGTGCCTTGAAGGTCGTCAATCGATGTAGGTCTGCTTTTTTTCCGCTTGGGTGGGTGTCTAGTCACTCCATCAACGATTGTCCCATTGGGCTTCCCTTACTTCATCATTGTTGTCGTAAGCCAACATGCTACAAAAGAACGCGTGTCCTTGCAGGGAAATGCACGAACGCCCCCATCAACAGCAGCGGCAAGCAGGTGTGTCCGAACTGCAATTATTGGTACGGGCTGAGCTGCCCCGCCAGCAAAGGGACGTGCTGCCCATTGGGTCAGTGCGCCGCATCTGAAGCCTCCTGTCCGTGTCGCGGCCCCGGTGATTGCCCGTACAGCTACTGCTGCACCCACGAGTACGAGACGACGCTGCAAGGAGGTGAGTCCAAGTACTTCCCCAATGAACGCCAGTCGTACTGGCTACGGAACAGCTTTCACTTTGGCCACGTGCTATTGGAGCGCCTCCACTGAAGACGTGCCAGGACTGTTGTTGTGTTGGGACAAGGGGATCGTACGATTCGATGGCCCGGTGCCCGGTTGCGCAAGTGTCACGATCCGGGAACCCGTTCTCAATCTTTACTATCTCTGACCGGCCCTTTTCCAGGATGATTCGATTTATGAAGCATCAAAAGCTGATCCGATTGGCGTTACGTTTTCAATTGTGATCCAAGACCAAGGCTGCCGTTAGACTAGCGTTTCCAGGCCCACATCGAATCCGAGAAGGTCACTCGGTTGACTGCGCACCTTCACCTAGGAGTGATGTACCTTGAAAGACTCACGAGCCTAGCTGCTGACGCAGGCGTCTGCACGGACACACCCGTCCTCGCCAACGGCACCCAAGTGTGCCCGTACTGTACCGACTTCAATGGCGCGAGCTGCCCCGCTAACAAGAGCGTGTGTTGCCCATACGGAGAATGCGCGGCAGACGACCTCAGCTGCAGTTGCCTCGGTTCCGGCGACTGCCCGAGAGGGTTTTGCTGCACTGAGGACTACAGCGGCAATACTGGTAAGTGAAATGGCCTTGTTCTAAAGTGTGGGTCCAACCAGTAGATGCTGGAGCCCTGAAACTTGCCGACTTTCGGCCGCAGTACCCAATGCCGTCCCGGTTGATTGCCTGACATTTACATACTTGCCGAAGATCCCAAACACGCTCGAACCATATCGCGATTTGGATTCTCCCACGTTTCGAAGCGGCAAGTTCTGTGTGCAGGGTAGGCGTTCTGATATTGACAGACTCAATGATATGCAACCTTGGGAGATGACTGGGCGAATCGGTTGTACGCAGAGTGATCTGACCGTGTAAAGTGGTGCAGAACCACAAGAGTTTGTCGCTTGGCGGAATTGGTTTTGACAGTTGATGACTTGCCTTGCTTAACCCGAGGTTTCAACTGTGTGAAACGCAGGGAAGTGCATGAACAAGCCAATCGACAGCACCGGGAAGCAGGTGTGCCCCAACTGCTACGACTTCAACGGACTCAGCTGCCCGGCCAACCGGAGAACGTGTTGCAACGATGGAATGTGCAAGGCGGCGTGCTAGCGCCGTCGTCAAGTGCTTCAACCAAAGGTGAGAGCGTGTCGCGGGATTCAAGTGTGTGGTCGAAAGAAGGCCTTTTTAATACTGCGACCTTTGAGCCGATACGCGGGTTTTGGATTGAAAGCAGTGGCCAACTTATGAAGCCCGGAGAAGAGCGCGTGCGCAGTCCCTTTTCAAACGTTGGTCTGCTGCAACGCCACACGTGTTGCGTGCATGAGTGGGCTGGGGGGCCTGCTTATGAAGGTAGGGGGCAGCCCCCTCGCCTCGGGTGGAAAACCAGGGCGGCGACTGGTAATTTCTGGCTTCCAGCGGGACCCTGTCAAGCTTTGATTCCGATCTTTGGGCTTTATCACGCTGGCAGCGCGACTTGCAACTTGAGGCGAGAGTCTGCCTGACAAGAAGCGCTTTTGCCTTTTTTGCATCGTCTTGGAACCTTCTTTTGGTGCGGCTTACAATTTGGCCAGTCTGACCGTTTACAAGGCTGGTCTAGGCTGGGCTTGGTGTCGGCTTCGAAGGTCTGCGCGACAGAAGCTGATTTAGGTCTGGTTTCAAGAACCTACCAACCGACCATGGGATGCGAGTGTGAACTCACAGTTTTGTCATCTTCTTCAACGGTCCGGCCGAAACAACCAGACAATGTTGAGTGCACGTAAGCACGTCAGCGTCAGATAGTTGGCATCTCAATCGGAAGTCATGTTTGCTGCGAGACCGGCTGGAGATCAGGAGACGGAAACGAAGATGCCCTTCGGCCGCTGGCAAAACGGCTTTGACACCAATATATGCGCCTTGGCTCTAGGGTTGAAATCCAAGACGCAGCTCGCCGGATGGTCGTTCTTTGCAAAAACTCCTTGTGCTGACTTAGTAACAGCTGAATTGAAAAGCTTTGTTTTTTTCGCAGCAAAGGGCTCTGTTGGAGGACGGTGGCTGGACCGCTGGCTGGGACGGCTTCGATCAATGGTGGGACCGGCTCCAACTTGTGGACCCTGACCCAAGTATTGTGCTACCACATATGTAAAGTTCCGAGCGGACTTTAGAACGTGTGTTTAGTCTGACGACTGTTCATTATTATGGAGCAACTTGACACGGCGCCTTTACGCGCTCCCTTTGGTCCGGTCTGGTTCGTTTATCATTAGGTCTTACTACTTGCACGTAAGTACTACGGAAATATCCATCAAGTGACAAAACTGTGTAGAAGTGGGCCGTATTGGCATCTTTGTTTGCCCGAATCGAGATCTCATCGATATACCTTTTAGCCTGGTTTTAACGTAATATAGCACATAATTATTGCATGGACTATCGTCAGGATCACGTTGATAAACGCGACTTTACGAAGCAACATCTTTAGTTCATTGTTTGACGATTGTATGTTTATCTAACAATCACTCTCCAGCTCAACGTACTCTCTTGTTTCTAATCTGAACACTAGGAACAAGACGTCAATCGTCGACCGCCGCCCCTCCCAGTTGTGTAGGATTGTATGCGTACGTTGATGTTTGGTGCCGATCACGGAGAATTGCTGCACTAAGTTTGGATCATTAATTGCACGCGCTTGCCTGGCATTTGGTCCCGCACAGCTAATCAGGTTGTACTACGCGAATAGAATGGTTTGAACCGGAAAAATCCATAATGATTGCATCGAGTACAAAGGCCATGCGCACTGGGGCAGATTAAGCTGCAAATCGAACCGGTTTCAATCCTCAATTCGTTTATTGTAGTGGTGTCAATTGTCCGGCCGGGCGGGGCGCAACAGGTCCGCGCAGCAAAACGCGGCCACTGAAACACTTATGCTTTTTAATTGATGGGGTTCATTGTGAAGTAAGATCAATGTAACGGCAAAGGCGGAGATACATTATGCACATGTCCAATCATCCAAGTGAGGATCGTGCATCAGTGCATGCTACTTACTAATAACCGCCCGGTGCTCAGATTGCCAAGAACCAGCCGGATTCGAATTGTATGGGTCTTCGGGCGCGGCCTGGCGTGATTTCCGGATAAATGGCATATCTTAAGTCAGTAAGCCGTCACCGCATATTTACTTGCCAGTGAGATTCATTACATCCAGCCAAGCGGTGATACAAAGCATCATCCGACTTGTGTGGTATGTGGGTGCATCATGGCATGTTACAGCAGCTACCGGACATCGTGCATGTTGTCAAGTATTCTGCAGGTAGGAAGAGCATCTGAGAGGGGTCTGAGACTGCCAGGCTGCCGTGCTGCCTACGGTTCCTTCATCCTAAACAAATATACGACTAATACTTTACAACGGATCGAGCAATATTGCACGAGCTGGCATGAGTTTGCTCATCCTGTTTGGGCATCATCGGCATCTGATCAAACTGTCACACAGCTTCAGCACGCTTCCATTCTCCTACTGCACGTAGGCCTGGTGCAGTCAAGGCACAGCAATTAGTTCGCAGCCTGGGTCGGCTTTCGGTCGGGGTAGTGTCCGTCCGGTCCGCTTCCTCTTCCGTCTGCCGCCCTAACCCCGAGCCGGGCCCGAGCCGTTTGCGGCTTCTCCCACCCCTCGTGTCGACCCTCATTGAATTCTTGCGACCCTGTGGTTGCTTTTCCGTTTGTCCTCGCATGGGAAACAGCTCTCCGGCTCATGCGCTGGGCTCCAATTTGGGCCCGGCGATGCCCAGGCCCGCGGTGCACCGGTCACCGGAGGCTCGGGAGCTTCTGAGTTAGGCCGGGGTCTTATACAGGGGCGTCCGGAGGGTGCGGCGAAGGAACGGCGGCCGCCGCCACAGCCTCGCGTTTAAAGGAACTCGGGCGTCCGCAACACAGAAAAGCAGCTCCACTGCGATGCGGTCCCTACCGGCCGCTCCCTCGACGTCCGAGAAGTATTGCGCTCCACGTGGCTGCGGCTCGTGCGCTCGTCCTCCAACACGTGACATCCGCCAGGAACTGTATATCCAACGGGGGCTGTTGGAGGCCCGTCCGAGGACGGTCCGCACTGCTGGGAGCGGGGGCGCGGCCCCTTTCGAGTAGATTTCCGTTGGACCCCAATTCACTTAGGGCCAGCCTCTTGGTCTGAAATGCTCACGTCGGGTAGCGGTCCGGTAGTATGGCCGTCTCCTTGGCCCAGGAGCTAAGTTAGCAGCAACGGAGAGCAAGAACGAGCGTCCAACCAGGGGTGTTCCGATGTCGGTGCGGAAGTGGAAGGGCCTGAAGTGCCGCTCCCTTTGAAAAGAACCGGTACATGCTGCCTGCCGGTGTTCGCTGTACTTCGCATGGGTTTTTGACGGTTTAGGGGAGGATGGGGGCGCGCGTGTGCGTTGTTTGCGTCTGTTTGAGGGGTGGAAACCGCGGCCGCGGCGCCGAAGTTGGATTGGAGCAGAGCGCAGGGCGTGCGGCGTAGTGCTGAATATGGGGTGAAGGCAGCTGGGCAACACCTGCGATAGAGAGCATCTTCTTGGACGAGGGACGGTTCGAGTCTGCACCTACCCGTGCAAATCAATTTGGAAGCTGAGCAGCGGATGTCGTCGTTGTCGAGCTTCACATCGATGATATTTTTTGGATGCAAGACCGTTTGGATCACGTTTCTCCCAGGCCTGACTACGAGGTCGAAGTATTTGCAATCGTTGCCAAGCAGCAAGTTCTTTCAGCACGGTAAGTTTGGTGAAAAGGTGTGACCCCTTCCTTGACTGAATTACTCCCTTGCAGGTGTTAAGCGCAAAGTCTGAGGCAAGTATAACTTTGTACTTGACAGCAGCCGAACAGACCAATCAGAAAGGGTCAAGTCACAAGCTCTCCCAGATTTTTCCAAAGCTCTCCCAAAGTCCTTTTGACTCTAGCGCACTTTAGATTGGCCCGTTTCTGCTGCGTCCACCTTCCTGTTGCTGTGAAAGATTCAAGCTCTGGCACACGTGTGGGACGGCCCGGCCGCGCCTTTAAAGTGCCACTATAAAAGCGCCACTTTCTTCCCCTTCTGCAGCCAGTTCTTGATGACGTTTTCCGTCGTCTCAGCAGCTCGAAGCCGGTTCTTGCGCAACCGACACAAATAACAACCTGTTCCTACATCAAGCAACTTCATGCTAGACAGCTTACGTAACTACGGGGGCTGATCTATACTGGCCCGCGACCGCTCGCGTGGCGGGCCTTGTTCTCTCGCGGTGTCACTTCAGTCCAGCTTCGATCGTTTGTGTCGGCCTGCTAAATGAAGCAAACACGATTATCAGGAAGGCAGTCATGCATTCTTCAGGACAACTGGTCGTGAGTACCTTCGACAACGCGTGCATGTCAGTACTCGGAAACTTAGCGAGAGGCCTCTTTTCTGATTCTCGTCACGAGAGATTTGTCGCGAAAGATAAATGGAGGCCCTTTGAGACCTCACTCTCCACCGCGAGTCCCTTTGTTCGTTCTTGCAAAGAACTGCTAACAATAAACAACATTGTTGAACTCCGCGCGCCACTCTACAAAGGCTTATGAACCAAAAAACTTTCTCAATTCGCTTCAGTACCTCGTCGGAAGCTGGACTTTCCGCTGACGTACGTCTCCCAAATGCGCACCGGCTGGTGCTTCCCACTCCAGCACCAGCTTCCCCTACCCACCACCCAATCCCGTGGCGCCACGTGTCACCTGCGGTCTGATCAGGCTCCTTGGGCACCGCAAAAGACTCTGGCTGCTCTCTGCATTTATGGCAAGGCATGACCCATCCCGCCTCTATGGGAGCTACACTTTACGTGCGAAGCGCCGGTCGTGCAGTGGCCCCCGCCATTCTCGCTTCCAAGCGTCACCCACCCTTCAAGGTCGGATCTGCTGACGACATCAACCCCGCGGTTCTGGTATTTTCCTTTAGCGGGCGCTTCGGACTCAGGGCCGGAGGGACACGGTCGATGACGTCGGGGGCGGGCGACGCGGGAGGTTTAAGGGTTCCGGAGCATGCCGCGGCGCGTGCGCGTGCTGGGGGGCTGACAGGGTCCCTGGCGAAGCTGTTCCAGCGGGCTTGTCGCCGAAGCAATGACAGCGACTGAATTCTCCGTTCGCTCTTGTTACGATATTCCGGCCCGCTCTTGTTCCTGCGTGGTGGGAACCCACACGTTTTGCAGGCCCATCCTTGTGGAATCCAACCGAGGCTGGCCCCAGATTGCAAGAAGTGGCGACCAGCAGACAGGCTGCGGGTGCCAGTTATTGGTTCGGGAGTTTGCTCCCGCTTCGAAGCTTGAGAGGCAGAAGTCCGGCAGGCCGAATCCGAGTCGGCGGAGCCGGCGGAATGTTGGAGATAAGTACTTCAACTTATCCACCTAGGCCATATCTGCGCAGGGATGGCCTAGGTGGATAAGTTGAAGTACTTATCTCCAACAAAAATGCGG